CACGAAAGCTCAAGCGACGCACGAGAAAGTGGATTTAATTAAATTTACATAATGTTTTTCCTGTGTTACCTGCAATAATCTAAACAAAAACCACTCACGCGTGCCGGGAACAATCAAATTAACAATGCAGAGCACCGCTGGACGAAGTTTTCGTGACGTCACGAGAGCGTCGTCCACACTTCAAAGCGGTATATCTCAGCGATGGTTTATCGTAGAATAACGAGGTTTGAACAGTTATTCTTAGATTTTTTTACACAAAAACTTTAATTTTTGGCGCACACCCCCTTTAACGTAATTAAAGTGGATGCAATTTAAATCTGGTCTTGAGATATAAATTATTCTATAATATCCACTTCCATTTAAATTTCTGTCAGGAATTATCTTAAGGTTAATGTATCATTCTCTGATCGTTGTACTCCAAATGACCATGATGATTTTTATGAAATCTAGATCCATTTAAATTTCTGCACATTGCACATACTACCTACTCTGCATATGTCTTCAATTTTATCTTATTGAACTAGTTTACCGTCTGTAAAAAATGCAATTTGTCAGGAATTATCTTAAGGTTAATGTATCATTCTCTGATCGTTGCACTCCAAATGACCATGATGATTTTTATGAAAACAAGCAGATCCATTTAAATTTCAGCACGTAGGTACTACCTACTCCGTATATGTTTCAATTTTATCTTATAATTGAACAGTTTACCGTCTGTAAAAAATGCAATTTGTCAGGAATTATCATAAGGTTAATGTATCATTCTCTGATCGTGGCACTCCAAATAACCATGATGATTTTTATGAAAACTAGATCTGGTTTTAAAAATTTAAACTCTTGATGCTATCCATTCTCATTCTCGGTCTGCTTTTAATTTTGAATCCTGTCAAGAGCTTCTACATCCCATAAAGCTTAAAACACTATTAACGAATACAAATGCAGGAATTGTTTAAATATTCTTTAGTTTTCAAGAAAGTGAAGAAGGCATATGGAAAGAGGTATCAGAGTAAAAGCTTTTTCACGTAAGGTCCGTTTCACCAGGGTTCATACTTGACCTTGAAACTTGAGAAAAAAGGGTTGTCGTAGATTTATTCATATGACACATTCAATTTTTTGACAAATGGCAGCAAATATCCAGTTAAGTTCCTCAAAATTTTGTAGAGGGCGCGAGTGAACTTGGAGTGCTTCAAATTTTGGCGGTAAATGTCAATAGTTTTAAACCATTTAAATTGAGTAGAAGGAAAGATGACTACAATATGAACAATGGACAATGAATAAGTTAAAATATCTTCCAAAGCATTCAGTGGGACTTAGAGAATATTTTTAAAAGTGTCAGCGTCAGCTTGTCTTGAATCCACACATCAAAATTAACTTTTGAGGTTAAAATTACAATCAATCATTTACGCGCCAAAATTTAAATAGCTCCAAGTACGGAAGCGCCCTCTTCAACTCAACTGTCAATAGTACATGCCATTAAAATGAATGACTTCTGGTTTAAGAACCGACGAACGTTTTTGAGGTCATTGATTTGTTTCAGTCAATTTTTATTTGTTAAGCAAGGAAGGCAATCAAATGATGGTGGCAAGTACAAACCCTTGCGAAACAAACTTTAGTAGAGGTGGGTATTGGTATGATAACTGAAGACACTTGAACGTGGGAACTTTTTCGATGGCGTGAGAAAATCTCTAGATCGGCGCCTTTGATGTGAAATTAGAATTTGACCCGGGCAAACCCCAAAATTTGTGAATCTGGTGAACCATTTACGTAGAAGAGGTCTGGGGGCACTTGAGTCAGCTTCAGGGAAGGGGGTTTACAGTGGAGGGGAGTTTTACGTGGTAGAGGTGGGTATGTGGTCTGATAGCTGTGAAAACACTCTAGGTCCGAAAATTCGGATCTCTAGTGTTCATACTAAAGTTCCGATAATTTTCGGATTTTCAATTTGTATATGTCTTAGGGGTCCGAAAATGCGGATCTTCAGTGGTGTTATTGAAGATCCGAAAATAGATGTTTATTTCTAATTCTGTCGTAATTAAGGAATATTATACCATTTCAATAAAATTTATAAAATGCTTGTATTTTTAAGAATTTATACTAGAAAAAATGGATCCTCTAATCCTTTATTATGTAGAATAGCTAATCAAGTTTACTCGAAAATATTTGGTTGGTGCAATTTCAAACAGAAAAGTATAAAAAACAAAACTAAGTACCTTTTTATTTTTTTAAAACATTACATAATTGAAAATAAATATTTCTTCATTTTAAGGGTTGATAGGGTAACAGGTGTGAGGTGTGATTTGATTTAGTTCCTTCTGCACTGCATGCAAAACCAGGCTTTCTTACTAGAAGGCAGCTTTGTTACTGAACAATACACTTTATGTTTACACCGAAGACATGAATCATCAATCACACCGTAAGCAATCTTCATGTATCACTTTGTTACATATATCACAAATCCATTTTAGAATACTATTTTGTTTTTCTCCAATTCGTTTTTGTTATAAAACATAAGAATCTATCCAGACAAAAATATGCTTCTATTTCTGCTAAAGATATTTCTTTTTCAAGAAGAAGTGGATCAATTTGTTGATGATGAGGAATGTTTTATTTCTCATTTTTAAAGTTTTTATGTAATGCTTTTGTTTACCAAATCATCTGTATTCAAAACTGCATTAAGCATTATCTAGTGCCTCAGTTTAGGAACTTCATTTTTGAACAAAACACTTTTATTTTTCTTAGACCTTTTTAGTCCAATTGCAGTTAATTGATGTCCCTTGAGTCTTCCTTTATGGGTTTTAAAGAAAATTTAATACTTTTTATTTTTTCTTCCAATTGGTTTCGTGCAGTAGTATTTGGTTCTTGGGCTAGTTTCATTAAAATGGTGTCGCAAATATCTACAAAGAATAATATTCAAGATAAGTCTGTTTCTGCAGAAATCACAAATTAGTTATTAGAGCAAATTTCATTGGTTGAAAACAGTCAGAAAACCAGTATCAACCAATGAAATTCACTCTGACTGGTTTGCGATTTCTGCAGAAACATACTTATCTCGAATATTATTCATAGAGCGCGTTTGGGTTCACGCTCGGTGCACTCAGAGCATGCACTTTTGTCTCTTTTCCGTTATTTTTGAAGCTCCGACCACCTCCGACGACGCTTGATTGTGTTTGGTTTGACATATTTTGAGCACTCAGAGCGAGCTTGATAAACTCCGAGTTTTTGGGTTGGGCAGCTGGAGCGTGCGTGCGCAGTTTAATCTGTCTGTCTGTAGTCTGTATAACCTAACCTGTTTTCCATGATAAATAAACAATCCTGAATTTTAACATATTACTTGTTAGGTGGATAGTTTTATCTATTTTGTTTAAATGTTAACAATCAAATAGCTAGTAAATTCTGCATAATTGTTTACTTTTAATTAAATTTTCTCGATAGTCCTCATCACCGGTATTATTGAACATATTTTTCCAAGGGAACTTGGCAGCCTCAGAGTGTTTAGGTCCATTTTATTGTTTATGTAGCACGACATTTTTTGCAGAATACAAAAGAAAATGGGGCTGTTTGAAAATTATCGACTAAAATGCAAAACAAACGAGAAAACTCTGGTGCAAATGCGGAAAGCGGGTTCGGACTCCAAAAAATATATGCTAAGAAAAATAAACAATAATCAGCTGATCGCTCAACCCAGAATTTTTGCACAAGTATTTGGCTTGACACGGTGTACTCCCTGTGACGTCACCTTACTCCGTAATCGCTTGTCACTTTGCCGAGCGTCAACCCAAACACGCCCTTTTTGTAGATACTTGCGATGATACTCCTTAATTAGACAGAATTAGAAATAAACATCTATTTTCGGATCTTCAATATTACCACTAAAGATCCGCATTTTCGGACCCCTTATATACAAATTGAAAATCCGAAAATTATCGGATCTTTAGTATGAACACTAGAGATCCGAATTTTCGGACCTCTATCCACTGCCTTATTTTAATGCCCGGGCAATTAAAAGTGTCCAAAGGGATAGACAGAATGAAATGATGCCTGAACGCGACCTACATTCAGAGCCGCTTTCCAGCTGTGTGCTTCAAGCACAGTGCAGCACAGTGTTCTGTGTTTGAAACGCAAAAGTTAGCAGCTCTCGAAGCGCAGTACGGCTGGAACACGAACACGCGCTTGAAGCATTTGCGCACGCAAAAGCTCGATTGCGTGCTCAAAAGTGTCTGCTGGAAAGCGGCTCAGATTCTACTATTTACGACGCGACAGTTTAATTACAACTGTTCGGAGTGCTCGAACTGTCCGGAGTACTCGCATTGTTATTCGAAGTTCTCCTTCTAATGGCAGTACTCCAACTGTTCGGAGTGAACCAACTTACTTGACTATTCCAATGAACTAAACAAACACACTGGAAAGGCGGCTGCACAATTGTTTCCACGCGAGGGTTTATGCCAGGAAGAACAAAAAACAAAAGGGATTTGCATCCCTCTCTGCACTATGGCGGCTATTGAGAACAGCTGTTTGAAGTGTTTGGATCATTGAGGTTAGGAAGATGAAGAAGCTCTCCTTCCTTTTACATCAACCGCAATGAGTGCGAACGAGACACTAATCCCTCCGTATTGCTGGGTTGCATACATCAAAATTTGGCACACAGTGGGCACACTAGTATAAAGCAGTGCGCCAGTTTCAGAGTGTTTGTTTGGTTCAATGGACTACTCCAACTATTTGAAGTACCCCAACTGTTCGGATGACTCCGAGTACTTCAACTGTTCGGAGTGCTACGAGTAAACTAAGGCCTTCAGAATACAAAATAGTTAATATATCTTTAAATTGATCAAAGGAAAGTATTAATTTTGGAATGGTAGTCTCATCACCTATCTACGAACCTGCTAACGTAAGTTTGGTTCATTGGAGCCTTAATGAATCTCATCGCAGTACTAAAGAGCGGAAAAGTGGCACTTGCACTAGTTACATTAAAAATGTACTCATTTGCTGCACCATAATATACTTACTGGGAATATCTTACTATTGGAGATGATTTGCTTTTATGCAAATGAGAAATGTCCTTTATCCATTTTTCTATGACTTTGGAGTTTTTCTCGACATTTTCGACTTTTTTGACAACCTAAAACATTCATTTCAATAAAGCATAATTGAAAAAGTTCAATCATTACAATATTCTTTTGTTCATGTCCACTCATAATATTATCGTTAGCAGCTCTCAGTTGTAAGTGTAACAACGCAGGATCGCTCTGGTTGGCCGCAGGCTCGTCCAAAACAAGCAACCCCAATTGCAGAATTTTTTCATCAAAAGCGTCCCCAGCAAGGGTGGTTTCTGGTGGTATTACTTTGAGAAATGCATCAATGTCTCCCACTGCTGGCAAAAATTCAGGAATAAAAGGTTTGAATTTGTATTCCATAGCTATTGGCTGAGGAGTGTATCTAAATATAAGACGGATTTTTTTCAGAATGTTTTCAAATGAGTGCAATAATATACTACTTTAAAATGTACTGAAACACTTCTGCTACTTCCGGATCCACTAATAAATTTTCATATTCCTTGGGATCGTACTGGCCTACCAATTTTTTAGGTTTGCTCTCATTCTCACTGTCCTCACTATCGCTAAAAACTGCAGTTTTATCATGGGTCCTATTAGAAGGCCCTGCGCTAGTTTTGCGTCTTGGCAGTGCTTCGGGTTTTTTATTCTGCAAAAATTTTGAATAATTATATTTGATATTAATTTGTGGATTGTTAAAAAAACCTTCGATGGTAGTTTTTTAGGGCTGAGTTTGCTAATTTCTTCAGAATCTGATTCGGCATTTAAATCGAATTTTCGAACGTCCTGACTTGTTGATGGTTCTTCCTCTACTTCTTCATCATCCTATTAGTGAGACGCCTAATTATGAAAAAGAAGTCTCAAATGTTAACTTACCTGTACAATTGAAAATGATCGTTGCATCATGTTAATCAGATTTTGTTAATTTGCCTTTATTTAATTAGAAAATGCGTTTCTTGTGCTTTTTTATGTGTATATTTCTCGATTGATTCCGTTTCCTAGCAACCATCTGTGTGAATTATGAAATTACTCTAGGTCGCTCTCGAGTCTCGGATGGATTTTTGAAAGCGCCTTGCACAACGACAGCGTCAACGAACCTAACCTAACATTTTCACGTGGCTTGGGTAGGATTTGTTTAAAAAAATTATTATTTATTTTTCCTTCAATTAAAATAAATTCAACATTGAGCAGTTGGAACGGATATTATTTGGTCGTTAGGGCCATTTCCAGTGTTTAGTTTAGATATTCAGATATTTAGCAAGGTAATACATATTTCATTTATTTGTGGATAATTTGGTTTTGAATTTCTCAATACAATAATTCAGGCCTATGATGTATCCTCTCCTGTTATTTTAACAGCTGCGTTATAGCTCAACAGCATACCTGTCTCTATTTTGATGTATAGAATAAACAGTGACAGATAACTTAACGTTGCTGTTAAAATAACAGAAAATGGTACATCATAGGCCTGATTATTACAATTATCAGTTGACAAATTCTCAATTTATCTTGTTGGGGTTTTCGATGATTTCGATTTTCGAAGGACCAGTCAAACAACTAGGTTTGACAAAAACGATTTTATTCTGATAAAGATCTCGATAAAAATGGACTGTGAACGTGTGTTAACGATTTGACAAAGTTCAAGAATAATAATGACAAATAATGACAATTGGAAACGCCATAATTAATTATAACAAAAAAAAGTCTCATCCATGGTTACAAAAATCCAGGAACCATGATAAAATGTTTTTGTGGGTGCGCTCGGAATGGAACATGCCGCCCGCCTTGAAAATCCACTTTTCAACAGCAAGAAGTCCTAATGCGAACATGTTGGAGCACTAGACTTCCACAGGCAACAAGCACACTTTGTTTATGGCGCGTTTAACGATATTGCCATTTGGCAGTTTTACTGACACTACACGCACCACATTGTTTGAGCCATGAAATAGTTCAATCACTCGAGCCATCGGCCACTTTAACGGTGGTGTGTTGTCTTCGATCAGCACAACCAAAGAGTCCACTTTTAAGCCAGTCTCAATTGTGTGCTGCCACTTGGAACGAGTCTGCATTTGAGTAAGATAGTCTCTTGACCAATGTTGCCAAAACTGCTGCCTCAACTGCTGAAGTCGATTATAGCGATCCAACCTTGTAGTTTTGACGTCCCTGACATCTTCTTCTGGAGGACTCGTCAGCGAGTTCCCGATCAAAAAATGCACTGGGGTTAGGCAAAGAAAGTCCCGGGGATCATTTGACAATGGCGTCAACGGCCGAGAGTTCAAGCATGCTTCGATCTGTACAATTAAAGTATACATTTCTTCGAAACTTAAAGACGATTCGCCCAAAACACGCTTTAAATGGAATTTCGTGGATTTCACGGCCGCCTCCCAAAGACCTCCCATGTGAGGTGATCGCGCAGGAATGAAATGCCAATTTATTTGGTCTTCTGTCAAAAATCTGGAAACCGTTTGTTTATGTTTAGGATCGTTAAGGACACGATATAACTCGATAAAATGGTTGTTAGCTCCAACAAAATTTAACCCATTATCCGAGTAAATGTTTAAAGGCTTACCCCTTCGTGAACAAAATCTTTTTAACACGTTTAAAAAGCTCGAAGAAGTCAAGTCAGAAGCTAGTTCGATATGAGTAGCACGGGTAGAAAAACAAACAAAAATACATATAATATGTTTTAACTATTTTACTGCGACGTAAAATACCATCTTTGATCTGACCGGTGGCCCAGCGTCAAATCACCCCCCTCATCGGGCACAAAATTTTCATTATGAGTACTCGAAACACTTCATCATACGTAACCAAAAACCGCCCGTCTGCCAGCGATGGGTGGTAGCCCGCTCCTGTGACCGCCCCCCAAATAAGGGAATTTTGATCAAAAACCCCCCTTACGAGTACACAAATAAAATTTTTTGGGCATGTAGAGAATTATATTGGAAACCTAAAAACACGCGGCAGACGCCTTCCAGTGGTAGCTCGTCCAGGGCAGACGACTTTAAAAAAAATATATGACGTAAAACTCCCCTTACGAGTACATTTACAAAATTTTGTAGACTTAAACAGTCAGATTGGTGTGCTAAAAATGCATGGCAAACGCCTTCAAGTGGTAGCCTGTCCAAGACAAAATTACGCTGAAGCATTTCTTATTATGGATAAAGACATTAAATAAAACTACAACATAAGTATTAGGGACAAAAACACAGATTTATATATTATTCAAGAGTACTTAAAGTCTGTTTTTTTTTTAAAGATAATTCCCCAAGTCAAAAATTTAGTAACTATGTTGGCAACACAAGCCTTTTCTACATAAAAAATTTGAAAGCATTGACAATTTTACATTGTATTGCCAACATAATGTCATTTTGACTTTTATCTTCAAAAAAATAACGCACTTTAGCATTAATAATGATAAATAGGAGTTACAGACATGGGTGCCGGCAGCAGGGTGCAAGGGGGTGCACTTGCACCCCCCTGTCAGAAATACATTGAAAGCATTATTCTTCATTTTATTATTATTATTATTTTTTTAAGTAAGCTACTGTTTGAATCAAGTTATTGAAGTGAGGCGGCGTTCTGATATTTGGACGACATGTTCTGTGGACAATGGAGAGTGATTTGAAAAACGCCTCACGAAATTTTGGGGCATTCATTCAACTTCTTGAATTAGTAATTTGGACCAATACAACAATCCACGCGCCGCCACTGCCTGTATGCACCCCCCTGAAACTAATCCTGGCGGCGCCCATGGTTACAGATTATATAGGAACACGGTAGAGTAATGACTTTCCCAGACCTGAATTCACTAGAGAGTCATTACGGGGGGAAGTCGATAATTTGTTGGAAAATTCGTGAAAAATTAATGATGCTTTGTAGAGATTTTTTGAAGTTTGAGGATGATAGCCCAAGAATAGTTTTTTCAGTAAAGTTAGGTGTGGGAGAGTCACTACGTAGGGAAGTCGATAATTTGTTTGAAAATTCTTGAAAAATTAATAATGCTTTTTAGGGATTTTTTGTTATTTCAGAAAGAAAGAAGTGACCTTTAATCACATCCGAGAATACTTTCTCTAGTCAAGTTAGGTCTGGGAAAGTCACTACGGGGACTAAAAAGGTCGATTATCGCATAAGTTTTTCCCCTCTCTGATATTTTTTCTGTTTGCCCATCAGTTGAATGGCCTGATCGATAGTTCATAAACTTCATAAATCTATCCCTCCAAGTTCCTAAAATTCTCTTAGCTTCACGCTTTAAGATCGGTTTTCAGTGTCATGAAATGTGGCTGACCTATCTTTAGGTGCAACCTTGAACTTTTGCCAATCCTGAAAAAATGAACCCATTTGGGATTTTTTTAGTTTGCAGCCCTTTTCTTCTTTCATCGAAGCTAGAATTTTTTTCAGATTTTTCAGAGAAATAAAATAAAAAATTGTGAAGACATTTTTTACAAAATCTCGAAGCGTGTAAACACAGTAAAAAGTGCAGTTTTACAAAGATAATTTTTATTCTTTCTAAACAACAAATTCCTTAAATAGTCCGATCCCCTATTACCTGGACTGGGCGCGTCGCTTGTAGGCTGCAGGTGAGCGTCCAATGAGAAACAAGTTTGTTACAGGCTGGCGTCATATTCTTATTCAGGGGCTAGTTCAGAATGAATCGTTCCTTCTTTCTTTGTAACGTCTAATTCGACAAAGAGCAAAGCAATACTTTACATATTACTTGAACTCACCGCAGTGTCGTTTAAGGTTATGTTAGATCATATTTGACATATTCCTTTGCAATTTCATTGAGCGATGCAGCCGAATGAAACATTTACCAAAATAGAAGTGCAAACGATGTTCAGCCACTTTAAAGCTCTTCTTGCGCGCGCATCTCATGTTTTATTACTTTCTAATTTGTATTTATTACAATTATTAAGCTCTCTTTTCCTAATCATGCGAGATAGGTCTATTAGGTATATTTAATTTTCTGAGAATTTGCAAAAAAATTATTGACATCCCGCCGTAGCGACTCTCCCAGAATCAACTTGATTAGAGAAAATATTGTCGAATGAGCTTAAGGGTTAACTCTATCATCCTTAAGCTTCAAAAAATCCCTACAAAGCATCAATAATTTTTCACGAGTTTTCAAACAAATTATCGAATTTCTTCCGTAGTGAGTCTCCCAGACCTAATTTGACTGCAAAAACTATTTGTCGCTGTGCTTATGGTCAACTCTATCATCCTCAAACTTCAAAGAATGCCTACAAAGCATCATTAATTTTTCACGAATTTTCCTACAAATTATCGACTTCCACCTGTAGTGACCCTCCCAGACTTAACTTGACTGCAAAAACTATTCTTGACTGTGCTTAAGGGTCAACTCTATCATCCTTAAACTTCAAAAAATCCCTACAAAGCATCATTAATTTTTACGAATTTTCCAACAAATTATCGACTTCTCCCCGTAATGACTCTCTAGTGAAGTAAGGTCTGAGAGAGTCATTAATCTACCGTGTTCCTATATAATCTGTAACTCCTATTTATCATTATTAATGCTAAGTACCTACTCTTGAATAATACATAATTTGTGTTTTGGTTCCTCTTATGTTGTAGTTTTATTTAATGTCTTTATAAGGAACGCTTCAGCGTAATTTTGTCTTGGACAGGCTACCATTTAAAGGTGTTTGCCATGCATTCTTAGCACACCAATCTGACTGTGTTTAAGCCTACAAAATTTTGTGATTGTACTTTTAAGGGAAGTTTAACGTCATATATATTTTTTTTTAAGGTCGACTGCCTTGAACGGGCTACCTCTGGAAGGCGTCTGCCCTGGACGGGCTACCACTGGAAGGCGTCTGCCACGTGTTTTTAGGTTTCTAATATAATTCTCTACATACCCAGAAAATTTCATTTGTGTACTCGTAAGGGGGGTTTTTGATCAAAATTCCCTTATTTGGGGGGCGGTCACAAGAGCGGGCTACCACCCATCGATGGCAGACGGGCGGTTTTTGTTTACGAATGATAAAGTGTTTCGATTACCTATAATGAAAATTTTGTGCCCGATGAGGGGGGTAATTTGACGCTGGGCCACCGGTCTATAAAGATTGGCCCGGCATAGTCGATGCCGCAATTAGTAAAAGGTCGATTTGGGGTCACTCTAGTAGTTGGTAAATCTCCCATCAAAAACTTACACGGTTTGGGATTTACTCTGCAACACCTAACACACGATTTTATGATATGCTTAACTGCATTTTTTCCATTTACTAGCCAGTATGTCAACAAT